ATGAAGAGTTGCTCGCATTCGTGGAGTGGCTCAGTGCTCTTGAAGGGGCGTTAAAGAGAAAAAATGAGGAGCTCGAGCTGAGAAGGGATGTAGAATCTCAATGCCGCGACCTCCATAGTCGGGTCAACCAATTGCAAGATTAGTTAGATGAGCGCCAATCCGAAGTGGATGGGCTCTGGGGGAGGTAGCTGGTAAGCAACAAATGATCGAGGAGGCGTAGTCCTTCCGGAGACAAGCTCGGAGAAGGGCTGCCCTTTATGAGTTGGCGAATAGAAGTCTCTGTGTTGACCGGGATAGTGTTCAATCGACAGCTGATGCTAAAGAGGCTCGGCTCGAGGAGAGGATTAGCGAGTTGGAGAGAGAGAATGTCGAGTTGCATGAGAAGATTTCTATTGCGAAGAGCGCGAATGCTAGGCTGCTCGAACGACCCCTACTTCTTATGCCACTAATTTCCTGGCCATTCCACAAGAACAGTATGATGAGTGGATTCTTGTTGAGGCTCGAGTAGAGGTGGTTAGAGAGTTTGGCCAGACGGGCTTCGTCTACGAGACTTCCTTGGAGGAGGCCCAAGTTAAAGCTCATGAAATTCGGTTGACTTGTGGTTACAACCCTGACACGCCTCAGCCTGATGCAGAGGGTGTTGATGAAGAGGACCTCCCCGAGCTTGAAGATAGCGCCTAGTGTGACTCTGCTTATAACCGAGGCGATGATGAAGTGGGCGGTGGAGGCCAAGGCGGAGACAGTCATTAGGTGCTCCGCTCTTGTTTTGTAGGAGCTTTTTGTACTTTTTCCCTTTTTGTCGGCATCTTCGTGCGCCTTTGTAAAAAAATTTATCAAAAGATGAAATTCAACTTTTGTTTTATGCGTATCTTTCTATCCTTGCATTAGTTTTTGTTTCTATGGTTGTGTGCTTTACTTCTTCACTTCCTCCCTTTGTTGTTGCCTTCCGAGTTGCGATGGCACGGGGATGGGGAATTCTACTCAAGTGGATTGAGTGGATGCCTTTTGTGTAGGTATGGAGTGGCCATAGGCTGATGGGTTTTATTTGAGCTGGTCGAATGTGCCTCTTAGTTAAGACGTGGCCAGAGGCCGAGGAGTCTTGTCCGAACTAGTCGAACGTATGTCTTCTTAGTTAAGACATGGCCAGAGCCGAGGAGTCTTGTTCGAACTAGTCGAACGTATGTCTTCTTAGTTAAGACGTGGCTAGGGGCCGAGGAGTCTTGTCCGAACTGGTCGAACGTGGCTCTTAGTTGAGATATGGCCAAGAGCCGAGTAGTCTTGTTCGAGCTGGTCGAACGTATCTCTTAGTTGAGATGTGTCCAAAGGCCGAGTAGCCTTTTTCAAGTTGGTCGAACGTATCTCTTAGTTGAGGTGTGGCCAAGGGCCGAGACGTCTTGTTCGAGTTGGTCAAACGTATCTCTTAGTTGAGAGAATTAGGAGAAATATTCTATCAAACAGGCATCTTATTCATTTTAATCACATTGTGTTGATTACATCATTTTGCCGTGAGGCTTCTTGGAGAAAATTACAAGTTTTGGATGCTGGTTGGCGTTCCAGTCCCAGTCCCAATATATCTAGTACCTTCATTGTTCAATTCTGAGATTCTTCAGGAGTCGGGCAATTAAATGTGGTTGTTCCCGCATATTTCATCTCGAAATATCCCGTTCGTTGCCTCGTTAAAAATCTCCTTGATAAAACCAAGTGAAACTCAAGTGAGGGAAAAAGAGTACAACTTACGGGGCATTCCTTGTTTTTCAGAAGTTGAAGTACTTAAGGTAGCTGATATTCCAATTGTTCGGTAGCATCTTTCCTTCCAATGTTTCCAATTGGAAAGATCCCTTGTCTGCGGCCTGCAACTTTGTACGGTCGTCCAAATTGGCTCCTAATTTTCCTTCTCGGGGGTCTCTTCCTGCTTGGGTTTTGGCCTTGAGCATGTAATCCCCGACCTTAAGTAACCGTACCTTGGCCTTTCTGTTGTAGTAGCGTTCTACTTGTTGTTTTTGTGCGACCATTCTTAATACGCTAGGTCTCTTCGTTCTTCGACTTCGTCAAGATCTTGTCTTCTGTTCTCGTAATTGTCATTGCCGCTCTTGTTGGTGTACCTTAGGTTGGGCTCTCCTATTTCGACCGGTATGACTCCTTCAGACCCATAGACTAAGGAGTAAGTGTTTCTCTTGTGCTTGTTTTGGGGTCGTCCCATGTGCCCACAATACTCCTGATAGCATCTCCGGCCACATTCCCTTAGAATCTTCGAGTCTCTTCTTCAAGATATTCAAAATTGACTTATTGGAGGATTCTGCTTGTCTGTTGCTGGCTGGATGGTATGGGTTTCAGAGTTGAAAATTTTAGTGGTTTTTCTCCCTGTGAACTAGGGTCCGTTGTGGCAGCTTATTTCTTTGGGCAGGCCAAATCGGCAGATGATGTTCTTCCATATGAAGCTGATTACTTCTTGCTCACGAATTAGGGCGAATGTGCCTCCTTTGACCCATTTAAAGATGTTGTCAGTCAAAGCTAAAAGGAATTTAATGTTACCTTATCCCGCTGGGAGTGGTCCCACGATGTCCATCCCCCATTTGATGAACCACCATAGCGAGGTGACGGAATGGAGGTGTTCACCTGCTTGGTGAATTATTGGGGCGTACTTCTGGAAATGTTCGCACTTCTTTACAAATTCCTGAGCATATTTCTTCATGGTAGGCCAATAGTATNTGCTCAGTTCATCCGGAGTGACTGCCACAGTGGCCTTCGTGGACTTCCTCGAGGACGCGTTGAGTCTAGTTCGGTCCCAAGAACTTTGCCAAGGGCCCCCTGTACATCCTTTTATACAATTCGTTGTGAGGAGGCTGTACCTTGCCGCTTACATTCTCAACTTCCTAGCTTCCTTTTTATCATTTGGGAGAGCACCGTCCTGCAAGTAATTTATAATGCAGTTGCGCAAGTCCTAGGTTAAGTTAATAGATTTCACCTCGACGTGATCTAAGGCTGAGCTGAGGAGATGCACCACATTTTTTTCCCCAGGGTTATGCCTTTTGTTGCGGCAACCAGTTTCGCGAGGCCATTCACCTCGACGATCTGAGTTCATGGAATCTGGTCGAGCTGACATTCATCAAATTTGGGTAACAGTTTGCAGATCTCAGTCTTATACTTTTGTAACCTCTACTCTTTAATATGGAAAGTCCTAGTAACTTGGTTGACAATGAGCTAGGAGTCGCAACGTAGCCCTAGGCGCTTCGCCCCATATTCGAGTGCTATCCTCAGTCCTGCAATTACGGCCTCATACTCGGCCTCATTGTTAGCAATACTTGGCACCTTATAGATTGGAGAATTGTTTCACCAGTGGGGACTTCGAGCACGAGTCCCAGTCCGGACCCGCATGCATTGGATGTGCCGTTGGTGTGCAAGACCCAGAGGTCCTGCGTCAGGCTAGAAGCTTGCGTGGCTTCCTTCTCGTCCCCGGGCATCACCTTGGCGCTAAAGTCCATGACAAAGTCGGCGAGCACTTGTGACTTTATGGCTGTGCGAGGCTGGTAAGTGATGTTGTGCTCACTTAACTCTATTGCCCATTTGGCCAGCCTCCCAGACAATTATGGTTTGTGCAGTATGTTCCTCGAAGAAAATGTGGTGGCGACTGAGATTGTGTGGCATTGGAACTATGGCCTTAGCTTTCTTGAAGCTGTGGCAAGATCCATGGCCGATTCTCAAGGTGAGGATACCTCGTCTCGGCGTCGATAAGTGTTTTACTGATACAGTAGATTGGAGATTGCGTACCTTTGTCTTCTCGAACCAGGACCGCGCTTACAGCTACTTCTGAAATGGCAAGGTAAACGAGGAGACGTTCTCCGGGCTCAGGCTTTGAGAGTAGGGATAGTGATGACAGGTATTCCTTGAGCTCCTTCAGTGCTTGTTTGAACTCGGTCATCCATTCGAGGTCGTTGTCCTTTCTGAGTACATTAAAGAATATGGGGCATCTATCGGACGATCTCGAGATAAACCTGGATAAGGTGGCGATGCGACACGTCAGTCGCTAGACTTGTTTCTTGGTAGTTAGGTATCCTGTCGATAGCCTTAATTTGATCTGGGTTGACCTCGATCCCGCGCTGTGACACCAAGAAACCTAGAAATTTACCCGAAGTCACGCCAAACGCGCATTTCTCGGGGTTTAATTTCATCCCGTACTTCCTTAAGATTTCGAATGCTTCATTTAGATTGTCGATGTGATCCTCTGCCCTCAAAGATTTGAATAACATTTCATAGATGTATACTTCCATGGTTTTGGACCTTATTTTTGAACATCTTCGTGACCAACCTTTGGTACGTGGCCTCGACGTTCTTCAACCTGAATGGCATGACCCTATAGCAATACGTTCCCCTGTGAGTGATGAATGTACTTTTCTCTCCGTCGTCCTCCTCCATGAGTATCTAGTTGTATCCCGAGTATGCGTCCAGGAAACTCAACAACTCGTGTCCTGCTGTGGCATTGATGAGCTGGTCGATATGCGACAATGGGAACGGGTCCTTCGAACAGGCTTTGTCAGATCGGTGAAGTCCATGCACATCCTCCACTTTCTTCTTTTTGACCATTACCACATTAGCAATCCACTTGGGGTACTTTTATTCCCTGACAGAGTTGTTTTCCAGCAATTTCTCCACTTCCTTGTGGACGGCCTCGTTGATGGCGGGGTTGAACTTTCATTGGACCTGCCTTACTAGTAGGGGTCGATGTTCAGCTTGTGCGTGGCTATCTCTTTGGGTATGACTAGCATATCTGCATGGCTAAAAGCGAACAAGTCTGTGTTAGTTATTAAGAATTGACTGAACTTACCTGGGTCCTTGAGCTTGCTGCCCATGTAGGCCTTTTTGTTAAGATCGTTCGGATCTAGTTAGACGGGATCGAGGTCCTCTATGGTCGAACCTACAACTTCGACTGTTTCTGGATCCGTAATAGTGTCTTTGGCTTCGACCTAAAGAGATCTCGAACCTGCTGATTACTATGCTTCTTTTTATCTCTCATTCTTCTGTTGAGTAGTCATAATATCCAGGGCGATCCGATAACACTCCCTGGATGTGCGTTGTTCACCTTGTATGCTGAATATTCCCCAAGGGGTTGGAAACTTGATCATTAGGTACAGGCTGGAAGGGATTGCCCTCATGGGGTGTATCCATGGCCGACCCATGATGGTGTTGTAAGCCATGTCCTGGTCCATGATGTGAAATGTGGTCTCCAGTGTCATCCCACCGGCGAGGACATGTAGTGTGAGCTCGCCTGAGGTCTGTTCAACTGCATTGTTAAAATCGATTAGTGTGACACAACGTGACACTATCTTATCCTCGAGTCGCATCTGTACGAGGACTCGCGGATTGATAATGCATGCCCCACTTCCATCGTCGACCATAATCCTCCTAACATCAGTGTCAAGAATGCATAAAGTAATAACAAGTGCATCATGGTGAGGGAACTCAAACTGTCGGCATCCGACTCATTGAAGATGATACTTTTTTTGAGGCCGTCATACCGTTCATGGGTGATTGATCTCTTGAATTTATGGGTGGTGGTGAACCTAATGCCATTGATAGAGGTGTCATCACTTCCTCCGATGATCATGTTGATGGTACGAGCAGGAGACGACGACTTTGGTTGATCTGGGCGTTCTCGCCTTTTTGCTAAGGTGTTCTTGCCTTTGTCACAAAGCAACTCCTTGAGGTGTCCTTCTTGTAGCAGAGTTGACACTTCTAATCTTACAGCGTGAAAATCGTCGATCTTATGTCCTCGGTTCTGGTGTAACTCACAGAAGGCGTCTGACTTCCTTGTGTTCAGATCGGACCTCATCTTTGATGGCCACTTCACCTTTGGTCCGAGCTTCTCGAGTGCATAGACCATAACTGTAGGTGACACACAGAAGTTATTAGCAGATAGTGAAGGAACCAGACCTCTGTTGCTTCTGGGGATGTTTGATCTTTTCCTAAAGGGGCCGTCTTCGCGGTGGAAGTTGCGGACGGGTGGCCTGTTGTAAGGTTGATGCGGATCTCTACCCGGTTGTAGCATTGGAGGGTCTCTCCTCGTTCAATCCTGACGTTCCCTCTTGGGTTTGGATTGCACTGAGATGGGTCGTCGGGTTGACCCATTGAGGTCTTCGTCGTCCACTCTGACCTCAGCATAATAGGCATTGTGGATCTCGTCCCAGGTAATTGGTGGGTATTTCATCAATGGGCTTATCAACTTTCTAGTCGCCCTCGAACCTTCTCTCTTTAGCCCGTTCTGGAATGCTGCTACGGCCATTCCTTCGTAGAAATTCGGTAAGGTATCCTCACTCTATTGAACCGAGCTGAGAAGTCCCTCAGTCCTTCCCCTGGGGATTGCCTGATGGCGAAGATGTCATTTACCTTGGTTTCGGCCTTCTTGGCCCCGACATGCACTGTTACGAACTTGTCCCCCATTTCCTCGAATGTTTCTATGGAGTAGGCCGGCAGTTGCGAATGCCACGTGAATTCCCCTCTGTGAGGGTTTCACCGAACTTTTTTAGCAAGATGGGGACACTTGTCCTTTGGTGAGGTCGTTGCCCTTTACCATAGGGACGTAACGGGTCACATGTCTTCGGGATCAGTCGTCCCGTCATAGATTCTGAGGTACGGGGGCATCTTGAAAGTTTTTGGTATGGCATGAGGAGTTGCCTCCTCCCTGTACCACTGTTCCACAAACCTCCAGTGTCTATTTTTGGTATCAGTTTGGGGGCACCTGGTATCTTGTTTACCCGTTCTTGATGCTCTTTCATCTGTTCCTTGAGTGCCTGGTCTCGGTCTCTATTTCCTCCATTCATTTTAACACGGCGGTGAGGACGCTGTCACCTGCACCATTAGCAGTTGTATGAGTATTACCTGAAGTTGGGAGGTTTAGCTGATCGTCTTGCCCACTCTTGTGCTTGGCTGCAGGGATCCTTGGGGTTTCCGCGATCGTGCACGTCAACTGCTTGCTCATCATGCTGACCAAGGTGTCAGTTAGCCAGGCCTCTAGGAGTTTTTTGATAGCATGTGGTGTTCCTTCTTCCGCGGACGTGGAAGCCTCTTTGCCATTAGGTTTGGTCGTGCTATAAAAGGGTGCATGTGACTTCCCTAGACTGGGGGATGCCGTAGGGTTTTTTTCTTCATCCTGAGTTTCGTACCCTTTGTCGATGACACTCATTAAATTGAGCGGTACATTGTATGCCTCTTTTGCTCCTTTTCCTTGGTTACCAGTCATGGAACCCTTGTATTTAAGGAAAAGGAAGGAACAACTTTACAGTATATTAGGTTAACAAGTTACGAAAGTTAATAGATATGAATGAAAACTATAGTTTAACTAAGAAATTCCCACAAACGATATCAAACTGTATGACCCCCAAAAATAGATCTTGGTTTTATAAAATTAGATTTATTTAAAAAAAATAGGGTTAATCATAGTCAACGTTAATATTATTAATATTTAATGATAGACCTAACACTTTGAGGCCCATATTTACTATATACTATTAAAGAAAGCAGTCCTGGGACAATAATGGAGCTGTAGTGAATAGAAAACATAAAGAAGAGCAATAACTAGTGATAAATGACTTTCAAACAGTAAATAAGATAAAGACAACCCGACAAAGATGAGATTTTCGGATATCTTTCTGATAATGATGGATGATGATGAGCAACCTTATATTCCAATCCTTCTGGATCGCGAGAGAGGGATACAAGAAAGGAAGTGTAAAGTCAAGCTTTGTTTCTATTCAATAAAGTAAGAATCTTGTACAGAGAATGTTGATGAAATCCTTTACAAAAGGTCCGATGCCCTTTCTGATCTACATCTCTTCCTATTTATAAGAGCACATGTGCCACAAAACCCTAGATGGCACAACAAAAAGGAATATTCATTAGAATATTCTCTAGGGAATCTAAATCCTAAAATTGGTCGTCACTTCGTACCGAAGGCGGATGCTCGTCCTTGTCCTCATCTTCTGTTAAGCCATTTCGACATCAACAACGATTTATCCTCCACATCTGACCTCGATCTTTTGGAGTTAGGTTAACACGTCACTGCCTGCAAAGGCTTTAATGTCGTTGACTGGGTCAAACACATAAAATGAAGTTTTAAATAGCAACTATAAAAGTGGTTTCTCCCCAATTTTTTTCCCGATCCTAGGGGACTCTTTTATTATAAGAAGAACTCCGTTTGTAATTTTTTGTTCTTTGAAATTTGACAGTATTAGTAGGGAGAAATATTGCATCTCAAGACCAGTTTTTGGCTTCTCATTATAGTTTAGAGGGGTGGTTGGATATAGTTAATTGATGAAGCATTCAACAAAGTACATAGTTGGAGTGTCTTTGTTTTAGAAAAGGACATCCCCACTGTCCCTACCAAACCAATACACTATTTTATACTTTCCTTTCCTTAATGTGAAATCTTGTGAAAGTGCTCTGACTTTAATTTCGTCCTTCTTATTTCATATTCAACACGTGGACATTCAAATACAGAAATCTTACATGGTAGTTGATATAAAGAGTATCACTCATCATCACCAACTTCATGCGTATACTTGAAAGTTACTCCTATAGATTTATATCCAACCAAACCAAAAGAATTTCACTCTAACTACAGAAAAAAGGGTGTGATCTAAAACTTAATGAAGTGAGTAAAAATGATAGGAAATTAGATTTAAATTTTAGTAGAGAAAAAAACAATAGGAGATTTCTTCTTATTTATCTAAGTAGTGTTAGATCATAGCATTATAAATATTTGTGTTGGTAGAAATTAGCAAGTAACACCTAGGATATTTGTAGTGTATGCATACTAGTCCGGACACTAAATAACGACAACGACAACAACAACTAAAACTAATATCTTGGTTATGTGAATCCACAATGGCAATGTTGGTCCAATTAAGCTCATCCCATTCTATTACTATTATATAAAATTGAAAAAGTAATAGAACTTCTCTAGTTTATCTACATGCACATAAATCATTCAGAACTAAAAGATCATTGTAACCTGAACCTGAAGTACTAATAAGTAATATATAATCATAACTAATATAGTCGGCATGGCTAACATAGATATTGGCCTAGGCATCATAGTTATTTAAAGAGGACAAGAAACAAAAGAGAAACAATTATTGAGAAAGCAAACCTAGTATAGTTATTGTAAGAATAACTTTAACAATTGCTTAGGGTCATAACTCATAACCCAATTATTTTCTTGGAATGGGGAAGTCTAAAATTTACTGATTGCAACTGAAACTTAAGCAGGCTTCATGTTGCTATGTCATTTGTCAAGTGTCATCTTCTTTAGACCGTTGAAATGTTAAAGTCAAGTTTCAATGGAAACTCACCAAATCCTTGCTTCAAGATTCAGAAAGGCCAACAGCAATATAAAAGAGGGTCATATGAAGAACAACAAATTCTATATAGGTGTATTTCTTTTTTTGGTGGCAACAACCAGTTGGTAAATAACAACACCATATTAGAACTTGGTAATTCCAAGTTTATTGAAGATCTTTGAGACCAATTAATTCTCTAAGGAAAAATATGAGGACTTATTTGATCACTCTAGTCGGCTTCTTGTTTGTGTTCTTTTCTTATGGAGGTAAAGATGCAGTTTTCACATACTCAATTTGTATTCATCTTTTGTTGTTGTTGTTGTTGTTGTGTATTCTCAAACTAGAATGTGTAATCTTGCAGCTGCTTATGATCCATTGGATCCTAATGGGAATATCACAATTAAATGGGATGTAATGTCTTGGACTCCTGATGGCTATGTTGTAAGTTAATTTCCTTCCCTATTTCTCTCTTAATTTCTTTCACCACTTATTAACATTGTGACACTAGTAAATTATAATCTCTTCCCATTCATTTTCCCTAAACATTGAGTTCTCTGTTTTTAAAAAAAAAAAAAAAAAAAACAACAAGAAAAAGGAAAAGGAAATTCTTATAATTCTCATAGTTATTTATTCTTGCATGTGAGTTCCTACCTTATGATATTTAACTCGTACACTAACAATATAAATATTTTTTTACATTATCAGTACCCATTTTCCAAGTTACTAATCCCAATTCTTTTGGATCTAATTCTTATTATGTAAATATTTTTCACAACTATCAATGTAGTTTAATTTGTGATAGTAGGTTTATTATGTTATTATTATTATCAGATTACCAATTGTTGATTATTATAGAAGTTTACTAGCAAATTACCTTATACATGACTTGATTGTAAATATTTTTTTTATATATTAATGCATAGAACGTAAAATTGTTACTCTTATAGTTGACCTTTTACACTATCACTGTGTAAAAATTAAATTTATTATTACTGCACTTTTATGTGCATGGGAAGATCCCTATAGGTGGTGGTAACTATAAATTCTGAAATCATATTTTTGCAAAAGTACAACGAATTCACTTATTAGAATTTAAAGATTCCATTTATTAAATTTAAATACTGAATCCGTCTTCTGCTCCTAGGCTGTTGTAACGATAAACAATTTCCAAATGTACCGGCACATCATGACCCCTGGTTGGACATTGGGATGGACATGGGCAAAAAAAGAAGTGATTTGGACTATGGTAGGTGCACAAACCACAGAACAAGGTGATTGCTCCAAGTTCAAAGGCAATGTTCCACATTGTTGCAAGAAGACTCCCACTACTGTAGATATGCTCCCAGGGGTTCCTTACAACCAACAATTCACCAATTGCTGCAAAGGTATGTTGGCCTCAAGATTTTGATGATTGACAACAAGAAATTTAATACTCCCTCCGTTTCATATTAGATGAGCTACTTTCCTTTTTAGTCTGTTCCAAAACAAATGACATATTTCTAAATTTGGAAATAATTCAATTTTAAACTCTTTCATTTTATCCATTTACCCTTAATGAGAAGTTTTTATAGTCACACAAATGTCATGGCCCCACAAACTTTTTACCCCTTAAGCTTTTAAGACCACACGTTTCAAAAGTCTTCTTCTTTTTCTTAAACTCCGTGCCGATTCAAACTACCTCATCTAATATGAAACGGAGGGAGTACCAAAT